CTCCCCTGGAAGCAGCCATTCAAGGGGGTCCATGAGGCTGGAGTAAGATGGGGGGCACCAAAAGTCTCCCCTCTGTCCACTAGATCCAACCCAATGTATTTAGAACTGCATCAGGAATACAGAAATACAAAGAGGTCCTGGTGTAGTTCTTTTGAACATTATGCCCAGGCGGAATAGGAATAAATCTAAAGAATTAGTCAAAAAAGAGGTACTGAACCTTGGCTGCGGTCACACGGAGCATTAGCAACACTACAGAGACGGAAGATAGGCGGATTTTTCGGGCGCGATTACAGCGCCACATCTGGGAAGCGTAGAGCTCCCATGGCGAACCCGAGGCTTCCCGCTGAAGATGCGGGGTTAAAAAACTAGTACCTCCAAGGTACTAGTTTCCGGAAACCGCGGGGCAAGGGCAGGCGCCTGATCGTGTTTCTGGTGGTAGGTCATGGCATCCGGCGCCCGCCCATGTCCTGTCGCTAAAAGGTTTTTTCTCTCTCAAGTCTCCACAGGATGCGCACAAGCACCCAACGTCGCATGCGCACACTTCGTTTAAAAACAAACAACACAGCCCCCTCCTCTTTTCTGTACCCCTCCCCCACTCCTGGCTCAGCCTGCTCGAGAGGAACTCTCTGCACCGGGCGGCAGAGGGGGAGGTGCGGGGGGGGCGTGGCGGGAGGGCGGCCTGGCTGAAGCTCCTCCTGGAGGGGACCAGAGGGAGGACACAGTTTGCATTCCTCTGCAGCCCTGGAAGGGGTTAAACCCACAGAGCCTTTTGCTAGAGAGGCCGCTTCTTTGCCGCACCGCAAGGATTGTCCTGTGATCGGCACCTCCCCCCTAACCACGGGACCTCAACGGGACCTCTGCGGGACGTCTGATCGTGCAACCGCACGTTATTTTGCTCTGGGGCAAACAGCCCCCTCCCGTGTGACCTGGGCCCTTGTTTAGATTCTCAAATCTTATCTCACGAATATTGTATTGTGTGGAATGTATTATGTAGCCTCATGTTTTGAATATTGTGAAATAAAAAGATTATTACAAACAGAAAACTAAATCAGGAAAGTCTCCTGTCGAGCCACAATGAAACTAATGGTAACTGAACAGATTTCTTTCCTTGGAGAGGCACAGGAGAACTTCGTATGAGGTCAAAGCCTTTAACCTGTAGATTTCCCTGTGCACAGCTGGGATACACTCTTTCATACAATTTAAAATCTGGAGAAATGAGGAAAGGGCAGAATTCTCCCTATCTGGGTAGAGAGACTACAGGCAATGTCCTTTTTAAGTGCACCTGGCTTGCACCAAACCTGCAAATGCTGCCTGGCTGACGGGATAACTTTGCTATTTTCCCCCATCAATCTTCAAGAGGAGGGCCCTGATGCACAATTCTTTCAGCCTTCTGCTAGGCTACTTTGGCTGTGCTTCTTTCCTTTCTTTCCTGAAAGGCCTCGCTGATGTCATAAACTTCAGTCAATCATTAATTAATTAATTCATTCATTCATAGACCTTTACTAAAGGATATATAGATTTATCATTAGTCATAAGGTATATAAAACATTGTATCGTAAAATTAAAATCTAAGCTTCCATACAAGTTTAGTACAATCAAAATAGTACTATCTCAAATTTTGTACCTTAAGAACTTTGGTAAGAAACTTGGCATCATCATTAGTGATCTCAGGGATCGAATCCTTCAAGAGAAGTTGACGTTTTAACTTGTTACTCAAATAACTTTTAGGATGAAGCCAAGTTGGAAGGAATTTTCTGTGAGGTGGCTCATACAGGGGGCATTCGACAATGATGTGCTCAGTCGTGTCCAGGGAGTTAAGATCACAGAGGCACATAAACTTCAGTCCATTGCTTTAGATTGGCTTCCTTATACCCTACGTTCCCTTGGCATAGAAGACTAGCGGGGGAAAGGCTTGTAGCCCTCCTTTCTTTCTGACATGCTAGGTTTCAACATGTAAGGGATGCTTCACTCACAGGAGCCCCAGCTGTAAGCAACAACTGCAGCCCGGGTAGAGGGTTGTTACTTACGGCCACAATGAGAAGATGGTCTGAAAAGTGCACAATATAATTTTTTAAAAAACCAATAGATGGGTGGGATTAGAGTAGACACAGGCTCTGCAGAGGTTGAAGGCTAGCAGCTAAGAAAACCACGGGGCATTTAAGGACAACAAAGAGACCTGACGCAGCTCTCTGAGACAAATGCCGATTGAAACCTGTACCTCAAAGGCCTCTCTGGCTGCGAAATGTCCAGCAGCATCCTGATAACCCAGCGGTCTTTTCCAACAGGGGCAGAGACGACGAATTTGCATTTAAAGAGCAGGCTGGATAGAAACACACAGGAGATTTCGAAGCCGCATGGGTGGCAGCGAGGGAGAGAAAATGAGCTTAGACGCCGGAGAAAAGGGCTAAGCCTCCATCCCTACTGTGCGCCGGGGCAAAGGGATATCATCCCAGACCCTGAACTGTTTCACAACCCCGAGCCATTCACACGCCCTTTGGCCACTCTCGGCCCAGGAGGGGAGGACCGGCATCAGAGGTCTCAATAGGGGATTTCCTAGCCTGACTGGTGGGCTTGCAGGGGGACGGCGGGGCAGGGAAGATGCGGGCCCCGTTGCCAAGGGGTGGCCGTGGGGAATGCCAGCGTGGGTACCGCTGGGCCTGGCGGAAACATTCCACATTATGTGGGTAATACAGTGTGACACTCAGCAAACAATGGCAAATTGAGTGTCCCAGCAGGTAACGGGGTCTGGATTGGAGACCGGCACAGTGAGGCACTGTCAAGAGCCCCTAATCCACCCAAGCTGTGCCCCTCGTCGCTTCTGGGAATGTCAATGTTGTCACTGGGAAATCTCTTGGAGCCCACCCCAAGCCCCCGTTCCTCACACACAAGAGAATCCCAGGCCTCGGGGGACATCAGTGTGTTTGTGTGTGTGTGTGTGTGTGTGTGTACGTGGGGGGAGTTTAGGCTTTTTCCAAGCTGGTTATTCTCAAACCTCCTGAAGAATGGGCATGCTGAGAAGGCCAGGCTGCTTTCAAGATGGTGGCTCTAGCACCGCGCCCCCCCCCCACCGCCCAGCCTTGTTTTCAAGAGTTCTGGTTTTTACAAAAGCGAGCAAAACTCATTCCCTGCCTTGATATAAAAAGAACCTTCACTTATATTTTCTCTTTCCCTAAACTGTGCGGATCCTGGCAGACTCCTCAACTGGGCATGCAAGCGCCTGAGCCATCCTAGGCCCCCTTCCCACCCCACCCCCCAAAAAATGTCACTTCCAGAAACGGCTGTCCCCCACCACGATTCTGTATGCGTCCTTGTTCGGAGGGTGAGGGTTAGGCTGTGAGCAGGATATGGAAACTGACGTCCCACTTTTCAACACAAAGTTGTCGGAACACCTGGTAGAAATATTTCCCACACTTGAAAGGTGAGAAGACATTTCAATTTAGGCAACAAAATTGATTGATTGATCGATCGATTGATTGATTGTATTTGTATCCCGCCCATTCCATGAGCAGGCTCAGGGCGGTTCACATCATCTTAAACAATACAGTATGGTTTAAAAACACAATAAAACATTACATTATGAACATTTAAAACCAGTACTTAAAATAACTACAACGGTAGCGGATATTCTAGCCCTGGCCTTCAGCACCCAGTCTGACTGGGAAAAGGAAATGCGCCAGCAGTGTGTGCATGCAGAGTTGCAACGGGTAGCTTCCTCGTGGTTGAGAAACTGGGCTCGTGGGGAGTTCATAAAGATCTACTCCTCATACGACCCGGTATAGGAATTACTTCTACAGGTGCTGTCAGTATCCATACCTGATTGAGGGGAGACATGATAAGAGGTTTACAGATTTATGCATGGGATAGAGAAGGTAGAGAAAGTAGTCCCTTTCTCACCGTACAAGAACTTGTGGGCACTCAATGAAATTAATGAGCAGCAGACGTGGAACAGAACAAAGGAAGTCCTTTTTCACCCAAAGAGTAATGAACACGTGGAATTCACTGCCACAGGAAGTGGTGGCAGCTACAAGCATGGACGGCTTCAAGAGGAGATTGGATAAACATATGGAGCAGAGGTCCATCAGTGGCTATTAACCACAAGGTATAGGTAGGAACTCTCAGGCTGGGGCAAGGGATGCACTGTGATCTTGGTTCTATAGTCAGATCACACCACACAGCGCTTCATAAGAAGTATTCTGTTTATTGGTAGTTCATAACTAGGACAGGTGAACGTTTTTTGTCAGGAATGGTCCAAAGCAGCAGGACACCCAAAGTTATAGTAATTTCAAAGCACCCCCCATTACAAGCAGAAGCCAATAAGCACTGTGCATTGTGCGCGTGTGCACAGGAGGAAAGTGAGCGGGAGAAAATAGGAGCCGTTTGTTCCCAGCAGGTCAGGAGCAGCTGGAACCCCAAGGTCAGAAAAGCATACCCAGATAACAACCCAGGCAGGAGACATCGTTAGTGTACCAGGAAGGAGGATCACCCCCCACACATTCCAAAGACATGGCAGTGTTAACAGTGGGAGGGCTTCTGGAGTTCTGGTCCCACTGGTGGACCTCCTGAAGGCACCTGGGTTTTGGCCACTGTGTGTTACAGAGCGTTGGGCTGGATGGGCCATTGGCCTGATCCAACAGGGCTTCTTCTCTTATATTTTTATATCTGGGGCAGTGATGCTCTATCTTCTTGGTGCTTGGTGGGCGAGTGAAAGGGCTTTTGGAGTTCTGGCCCAGCTGATGGACCTCCTGAGGGCACCTGGGTTTTGGCCACTGTGTGACACAGAGTGTTGGACTGGATGGGCCGGTTCTCTTATGTCTTTATGAAGCACAGAACTACCCCTGGATGCCCTCAGCAGATCTTACGGGCCGCGACAGAACAAATGTTTCTTCAGATCGGGGACCCAAACATTCGGAAACAAGAACCATAACTCTGTGAATGGCAGAGGGCAGGGGGAGAAAGGTCTTTTTGGTCCCAGCAACATAACCTTTCCCTTTCCTTCACAGCTACCCGAGAGTCTGCCTTTGTCCACGCCATTGCCTCAGCAGGGGTGGCGTTTGCCGTAACCCGCTCCTGTGCTGAAGGAACTTCCACTATCTGCGGCTGCGACTCACATCACAAGGGGCCACCCGGCGAAGGGTGGAAATGGGGTGGCTGCAGTGAGGATGCTGACTTTGGCGTGCTGGTTTCCCGGGAGTTTGCAGATGCCCGAGAAAACCGCCCAGATGCCCGCTCTGCCATGAACAGGCACAATAACGAAGCCGGAAGAACGGTGAGTGGCTTCTCTTCCTTGGTCAACAGAGGAAGATGGACCCGGTCAGGGCTATTTTTGGGCAGGAACACACAGGAACGGAGTTCCGGCTGGCTGCCAAGTTGGCCACACCCTTTTTTTGGAATGCATTAGCATAATAGGCCACACCCAACAGCAGACACTCATTAGGATTGGCTACATTAGGGGTGTGTGGCCTAACATGCAAAGGAGTTCCTGCTACAAAAAAGGCCCTGGTTTGGACAACAAACAAGGTAAACAGAATAAGAAGGGAAAGGTGGATGTGGCTGGATGACCACACTTCTGGTAACATGGGGGTGTGGCCTAATATGCCAATGAGTTGTGCTGTCAGGGGTGTGGCCTAATATGCTAATGAATTTCTGTTGTTGGGTCTAGCCTATTATGCTAATGAGTTCCTGCTGGGCTTTTTCTACAAAAAAACCCCTGGACCCTTTTACGCTATGCACAGGGGGGCATACATGCTGGACTAGGGTCTGGGAGATCCATGTTCAAATCTCCACTCATCATGAAGCACATGGGGCGAGCTTCAGCCAGCCATTCTCCTTCGGCCCAAACTGCCTCACGGAGAACAAAATGGGGAAGGGAGAGCCACAGACGCTTCTGTGAGCACCTCAAGAACATCAGAAGGGCCCTGCTGGATCAGACCAGTGGTCCAATCTAGTCCAGCATCCTGTCTCACACAGGGGCCAGCCAGTTCCTCTGGACAGCCAACAACAGGGCGAAGAGGCCAAGGCCTTCCCCTGATAAGAACCTAAAAAGAGCCCTGCTGGATCAGGCAAGGAGGAATACAAATTGAAATAAATAAATAAATAAATAATACCAGTGGTCCTTCTAGTCCAACCTCCTGTCTCACACAGTGGCCAACCAGTTCCTCTGGAGGGCCAACAACAGGGCAGAGAGGCCGAGGCCTTCCCCTGACAAGAACATCAGAAGGGCCCTGCTGGATCAGACCAGTGGACCTTCTGAACCAGCATCCTGTCTCACACAGGGGCCAACCAGTTCCTCTGGAGGGCCAACAACAGGGCAGAGAGGCCGAGGCCTTCCCCTGACAAGAACATCAGAAGGGCCCTGCTGGATCAGACCAGTGGACCTTCTGAACCAGCATCCTGTCTCACACAGGGGCCAACCAGTTCCTCTGGAGGGCCAACAAGAGGGCATAGAGGCCGAGGCCTTCCCCTGATAAGGACATTGTTCTTGACAGCAGCATTGAGGAGGAGGAATGGAAATAGACACAGACAGGGGTCATTTTGTAGAAAAAGAGATGCAGGAGCTCATTAGCATAACTCATTAGCATACCTTATTTGCATATGCCAAACCCCCTGACATCACCGGAAGTGTGTCAGAAGGCAACACCCACCGCTTACGCTCAACTGGACTCTTTTGGATTGCTAACTATTGGGGGGGGGGGGAACGTGCAAATCTGTCCTGGAAGAGGAGGGAGAGCTTCTACCTGAATAAACCTTGGCCTTAAAGGTGCTACTGGACTGTTTTGGACCGGGAGGGTTCTGCAACTTACCTGGCTGCTTCTTGCTCTGACGGAGGGCTGCTGGGAGCAGGGGGTGGGGCTTGTTGCATGTTCCTGCCCCCTGGCCTCTTTATTGCCGGAGCTCCACTCCTGTGCGCTCCTGCAGGAAATGACCCCTGGACACAGACCAACAAACCCAGCTACCAGGCTGGGTACAAACTAAGCAACCACCCCAGTCGCCAAGGCCGCCGGCCTTAGACATGTCTGGAGAGGTCTGATTTAGACATGTAGCGGATTGAGAGAAGAAATGGCCAGAGGGGCAGCACCATTCCAGCCTGTGCAGACGTGGGACAAGAGTTTGCAAGGCTCCCCATCTGTGTGAAGCTTTCTGCAAAAGAGGAAAGCAGCACTGCACACCAAGAGAGCCAGCTTGGTGTAGCAGTTAAGAGCGGCGGACTCTAATCTGGAGAACCAGGTTTGATTCCCCCCACTCCTCCTTTACATGAAGCTAACTGGGTAACTTTGGCCCAGTCACAGTTCTCTCAGAGCTCTCTTACTCCACCTACCTCACAGGCAGTGTTCCCTCTAAGCTGAGTTGGTGTGAGCTACCTCACAATTTTTTAGCCTCCGGCTCACAGGTTTTTGTCTGAGCTCAGGAAGGAGGACTCCAGAGCAAACTAATTTACGCAGTAGCCAAATCACTTGCTCACAACTGTAATCCCAGTAGCTCACAAAGCAGAATTTTTGCTCACAAGACTCCACAGCTTAGAGGGAGCATTGCTCACAGGGTCTCTGTTGGGGGGAGACGAAGGGAAGGCAATTGTAAGCCGCTTTGAGACTCCTTCAGGTAGTGAAGGGCAGGGTATAAAACCAACTCTTCTTCTTTCTTGCTGTTGTGCTAGCTTTCTGTTTGCATGGAGTTTTAAATTATGATTTATGGAAATTGTTTTGGGATGTTTATACTGTCCCTCCAGAGTCCTGCTCTAGGAGCATTGAAATCTCCTCCACAGTCCAAAGCAGCACATGGTATTCTTGCACTTCCCTCTCTGGCACGCTAAAGGCAGAAAGGCGTGGTTAGCAGCTGTGTGGATCCCCAAAGCAAAACCAGAATGCAGAAAAAGAAGAAGAGATTGGATTTATACCCCACCCTTCACTACCCAAAGGATCCTCAGAGCGGCTTACAGACTCCTTTCCCTTCCCCTCCCCACAACAGACATCTTGTAGGGGTGCCAAATCCCCCCGGGGGGCGGAAACCCCCCCGCCCCAGAGGCCCGTTCCCCGACGCCGGGGAATTGGGCCCCGGGGGGAACCCCGCCCCAGCGTGCACGTCACAGGGAAGTGACGTTATGATGCCGGGCACGCTGGGGGTGGGGCCACGGCCATACAAGGGAAAACTCTATGGTTTTCCCTTGTATGGTCATGGCCCCGCCCCCAGCGTGCCTGGCGTCATGACGTCACTTCCCTGTGACGTGCATGCAGCGCGTGCACCGGGAGCCGCACAGGAGTTCCTCACCGGCAAGGTAGGTAACATTTGGCAACCCTATCACCTTGTGAGGTAGGTGGGGCTGAGAGAGCTCCTTCAAGAACTGCCCTTGAAAGAAAAGCTCTGCGAGAACTTGAGAATGACCCAAGCTCACACCAGCAGCTGCAAAGTGGAGGAGTGGGGAATCAATCCCTGTCCCCCCAGATTAGAGTCCATGCTCCTAAACACTACACCAAATTGGCAATCCTTTATTAGGACCAACCAAATCGGCAATCCTTTATTAGGACCAATCAAATGACACATAACACGTGTGCAAGTGGAGGAGTGGGGAATCAAACCCGGTTCTCCCAGATTAGAGTCCGCACACTTAACCTCTACACCAAACTGGCGGGGGGTGGGAGGCCTTTGAGAATGCATTTAAAGTTCAAGCTGTTTTCTTTCTCTGCACTGGCTGGGGAAGGGAGGACCTATCGGGGAGGCATACCTCCCCTTTGCTTCCCCAGCCACTGTAGCAGGAGCAGCACAATATGTGTGAAAGAGCCACATGTGGCTCCCGAGCCACAGTTTGGCCACCCTTGCTAGCCAGGTGGAACAGCAATGAACTAAAAGGCTGAGCAGCTACTAGGGGCAGCCAAACTGAAAGGGATACTTTTTTTGGAAAAGCACAGACAGTTCCGGTAGGATTTTGCCTTCCCTATTACTGATACTATCAAACAAAGAAACGCAGTGATAAAATTGACAATATTGAATGATTCTTATGAACATCAATTTGTGTATCTATTAAGACTTTTACAATATTGCTTAGGGAATTCTGGCATTTTCTAGTAGAGAGCAAATACCAGCCAATTTGAAAAAAGAAGGCTTCTAGCCAGATAAAAATGGTGACTGGTTGCTACTACTAGAAATGAATTAATTGGCTTGCTCCTAATTCAAGCACTTGCAATGAAACTGGAAGTAAGTTTAAAATCATTCAAGTTAAAAATTATTGATATTTAAAAATATATATATAACAAAACTATATTCCATTAAGCTTCATGTCTCTTTCTATTCTAAATAACCGTGTTTGCTTCAGGATAATATGAAAAAGAAGTTAAGCTGCAATAATTTGAAGAAAGAGGTTAAACTGTATCAAAAAGAAGTTAAGTTGTATCAAGAGGCTGACACCTTCCAGCCTTATGGGGTTTACTCCTGAGGAAGATTTGTGAAATGAGTGGTTGACCGGGCGCTCATTGAGGATATGATGATGTTGGACTTTCCCTTGAAAATGTCAGAATTTCCTAAGCAATATTGTAAAAGTCTTAATAGATACACACATTGATGTTCATAAGAATAATTAAATATTGTCAATTTTATCACAGTGTTTCTTTGTCAGTATGAGTCTGAGTACACAAGGCTGACTTGGATGGACCAAGGGTCTGATTCAGTTACACTGAGGCTGTGAATAGGATGAAACAGTCCCTGTGGAAATTAGCCTGTGGAGTTAGTTTCTTTCCTAGGACAGAGGTCCAGAGCCTATCCAGAGGTGTTAAATTCATTTGTTACAAGGGCTGGATCCAACATAAATGTCACTTTCTCAGACCAGGCCACGTGTGCCACGTGTAACGGAGACATATAAACTTTATAAAGGACATAGGTAAAGGTAAAGGTTCCCTTGCTCGAAAGCCAGTCGAATCCAACTCTAGGGTTGCAGTGCTCATCTCTGTTTTAAAGCCGAAGAGCCAGCGCTGTCCGAAGATGTTTCCGTGGTCATGTGGCTGGCATGACTAGACACCAAGGCGCACGGAACGCTGTTACCTTCCCACCGAAGTGGGAAGTTGTATCAAGAGTATTTATCTACTTGCAATTTCTTGCTTTCGAACTGCTAGGTTGGCAGGAGCTGGAACTAGAGACGGGAGCTCACTCCGTCATGCGGCACACTCGGGTCTTGAACTGCTGAACTACTGACCTTCCACAGCCTGCAGTTCAGCGTCTTCACCACTTGAGCCACCGCAGCTCCATATAAAGGACATAGGCAAACTCAATTCATGATGTTTTCTTACTCAAAATACAAACATTAACACTCTTACAGTACTTCCTTACAGTCTCTCCCTGATGCCCACCCTTCCCACTTCCACCGCCTGTTATTCATTAGCACTGGGACAAACTGGCAAATAAGGGTAATGGCCAGTTGCTCACAGGCTAGATAAGGGTAATGGCCAGTTGCTCACAGGCTAGCCTATGGGCCGTAGGTTTGACACCCCTGACCCAGGCCCGTAGCTACAGTGGGGCAACTTGGGGCAACTCGGGGGGCTAGCCCCCCCAACATACTGGCAAAGCCCCCCGACTCCCCATCCAGCCAAGGGCCCCCGAGCAATAGGTGCGGGGAAGGAGCCGAGTATTCCTGCACAGCTGTCTGGCATGAAGGACCAGCTACGGTGGCCATGTGGAGCCAGAAAGAACCTCTCTATTTCCTCCAGAAACTGAATTAAATTACTTTTAATTTGATTAGCCAGGAAGGAATTTAAATGCCCCGACTTAAAAAACCCCTGGCTTACGGGACTGCCCTGACCTATTCCGTAGACCCTGCACAAAACTGATGCGGGCTTCCTTCCATGTTTCTGCTTCCTTCTGGGTAGACCATCTTGGATCACATGCACTTGAAATGCAAGTGCCACGGCCTATCGGGCAGCTGCGAGGTTAAAACGTGTTGGTGGGCCCAGCCAGATTTCCGGGCCATCGGTGACTACTTGAAGGACAAGTACGACAGCGCTTCGGAGATGGTGGTGGAGAAACATCGGGAGTCCCGTGGGTGGGTGGAGACCTTGCGGGCCAAGTACGCCCTCTTCAAGCCGCCAACAGAGCGTGACTTGGTCTACTATGAGAACTCGCCCAACTTCTGCGACCCCAACCCAGAGACGGGCTCCTTCGGCACCAGGGACAGGACGTGCAACGTGACTTCGCACGGCATCGACGGCTGTGATCTGCTGTGCTGCGGCCGGGGCCACAACACGAGGACAGAGAAACGGAAGGAGAAGTGCCACTGCATCTTCCACTGGTGCTGCTACGTCAGCTGCCAGGAGTGCATCCGGATTTACGATGTCCACACCTGCAAATAGAAAGGTGGGTACGTGCTCCTGCAGAACCCAAAATAGAGCTGGTGTAGTGGCAGGCCTGTAGCTACGGTGGTGCATTTCGGGGTCCTGCCCCCTCAAATGTGAGGCACGCCCCACAACAGCCGCTGCCCCTCTTCCCTTCCTCCCCTCCCCCGTGACATTAAAACGGCCCTCCAGCTGATCAGCAGGAGCACGTGGCTGTCAGAACCCACAGCCAACAACGGAGTACACGCTTTCAAGAAAGGTTATACTTTTATTGAAGAGCTACAGATGCATTAACATCGTCACTGTTAAGAATGGCAGTTGTCCCTTGGACATAATAAGATATAGGGCATTTGTATGCACACACCCCCACTACACTGGCCAATTAGGCACCCTCCCGTGCGCGGGCTAAAGCCAGCGAACTGTTTCTAGGCGAAGCTGGGAACTGTCCGGCTCCCACGGCTGCCTGGAAAGGCAGACAACACACACTCCCACCTGCACATAGTTATAGATAAGCGTTTCGGCGCAAAGCATAGACAGGAATGCGAAAGCAATTTACACAGACTCTGACTGAGCATCCCAATCCCCACGGCAGCATAGCTGACATACTGCCCTCTCGAAATTCAACTTCTCCTGCCCATTCCGGGAGGTCTCCAGGTCATTCCGGGAGATTCCCCGGCTTGATGGAACTGACGCAACAGTCGAGGGTGCCAATCAGCTGGAGGGCCCTTTAAATGTTGCCGCCGCCCCTCTCCCTCCTCCCCTCCAAGAGTTCAGGGCCCTCCAGCTGATCAGCGGGCCCTTTAAATCTTGCAGGAGGTGAGGGTGAGGGAGAGGGGCAGCTGCCGGCTGCACATTTCCCCTGAACTCCAAGTGGCGATTTCCCCATTTGGAGTTCAGGAATGGGCAGCCATCCTCTTGAAAAACACCATTTAAAGGGAACCCTTTAAGAGCTGGGGTTTTTTTTCTAGCAGGGGGCTGCCCCTGCCTGATCTCCATGCGGCGAAATCACTGCTTGGAGTTCAGGGAAGGCGTGGGGCTACCCCTCCCCCGCTGCCCCACCAAATCTCCCCTCCACCATGAATGCACAGTTGGCAAGTCCCGGCCAACACGCCTGAAGCCAGCCACACCGCAGACAGCAATGATATCTGCCTGCTTAATGAGGCGGTTGTACGATCCCTGTGCTTAGAACACTGGAAACCCAAAACACACTCATGAAGGGCCGATTACCAAACGAACCTTGCAGGAAATGTAAACGGGGCCGTGGATTTTGCATACTCAGCAATTTGGCTAGGCGAGAACGAGCCCCTCCTAAAATCTGTTTCCACCCCAATTAGCCCACTTCTCTGCTCCTAATCGGGAGGAAATATTCAGCGTATCCAGGGCTTTTTTTGTAGAAAAAGCCCAGCAGGAACTCATTAGCACAATAGGCCACACCCAACAGCAGAAACTCATTAGCATATTAGGCCACACCTCTGACAGCACAGCTCAATAGCCTATTAGACCACAACCCCATGTTACCAGAAGTGTGGTCATTCAGCCACACCCACCTTTTGCTTCTTATTCTGTTTACTTTGTTTGTGGTCAAAACCCAGGGCTTTTTTTGGAGCAGGAACTCCTTTGCATGTTGGGCCACACACCCCTAATGTAGCCAATCCTACTGAGTTCCTGCTGTTGGGTGTGGCCTATTATGCTAATGAGTTCCTGCTGGGCGTGGCCAACTCGGGAGCCAGCCAGAACTCAGTTCCTGCCCCAAAATAGCCCTGAGCGTATTGTTTTATGCATGGGCCTCCTAGGACCCTTTGGTGAATCGGGGAAAGGTAGTGGCCCCTTGTAAAGCTGCTTATCTCTCACGCCTGTTGCTCAGCTCTTGGGCCGTGCTGCTGGGGTCCGATTGGCCATCGGAGGGGCAATAGTCCAAAGACAGGACAGCAGGCGAGACCAGGGAACCTGGGATCCTGAGATGACTGGGAAAGAGGGGCTGAGAGGCAGGCCAGCAGACAGAACCCTCACGAGACACAGCTTGGACTAAGTCCAGAGGCCCTCTGCTGGGCCTGATTCCACATGTGGAAACCTCAGCCAAGATGAGGACGTGCACACTAGTGGCAGAGGACGCACACACTAGATGAGGAGGTCTACACGACACCTTTTTGCTAGAGTGACCCATCCAAGGCTGGAAAACTGTGACCTGGGCACCCATCTCCGTCTGGCACTCCGTTTTCCACGGTGGCCAACCGGATGTTTTTGAGGAAACCAACAAATGCCGCACAAAGGGCGCAGCTGCCCCCCCCACTATGAACCCCCAGCAAGTGACATTCCCACATGCACAGCCTCTGCATGTGGAGGTTACATTCCAGCCAAGGCTCCCTCTAAGACGTGGAGTCCTGTGAGCAAAAATCCCCCTTTGTGAGCTCCTGGCATTAAAGTCGTGGGCGAGCGATTTGGCTGCTGCATCAATCAGTTTGCTCTGGAGCAGTGTTCCCTCTAGGCTGAGTCAGTGTGAGCTAGCTCACAGTTTTTCAACCTCCAGCTCACGCATTTCTGCCTTAGCTCAGGAAGGAGGGCTCCAGAGCAGTGTTCCCTCTAGGCTGAGTCAGTGTGAGCTAGCTCACAGTTTTTCAACCTCCAGCTCACGCATTTCTGCCTTAGCTCAGGAAGGAGGGCTCCAGAGCAGTGTTCCCTCTCAGCTGAGTCAGTGTGAGATGGCTCACAGTTTTTTAGCTTCCGGCTCACCTTGGCACAGCTCCAGAGCAAACTAATTTATGCAGGAGCCAAATCACTCGCTCACCGCTTTAATGCCAGTAGCTCACAAAGCAGAATTTTTGCTCACAAGACTCTGCAGCTCAGAGGGAGCATTGCTCTGGAGCCCTCCTTCCTGAGCTAAGCCAAAAATGTGTGAGCTGGAGGCTAAAAAACTGTGAGCTAGCTCACACTAACTCAGCTGAGAGGGAACACTGATTCCAGCCTCTGGCCACCCTCCCCTTCCCCATCCCTCCCTCCCTCCGATCCCCAATAAGACTCTCAGAAACTCACTCCAGAAACCATCAGGACAGGTTGTAGTTGATCAACATGCATATGCAGGGAAGGAAAAAATACCAACTAATTTGTGACAAATACATGTATTCAGGGGTCATTTCCTGCAGGAGTGCACAGGAGCGGATCTCCGGCAGTAAAGAGCACATGCAACAAGCCCCACCCCCTGCTCCCAGCAGCCCTTAGTCAGAGCAAGAAGCAGCCAGGTAAGTTGTAGAGCCCCCCCCCCCGGCCCCCTGGTCCAAAACAGTCCAGTGGCACCTTTAAAACCAAGTTTTATTCAGGTACAAGCTCTCCCTCCTCTGTGAGGGCAGTTCTGCACGTCCCCTCCCCCTCAATAGCTAGCAATCCAAAGCAGCCCAGTGGAGCCTGAGCGGTGGGTGTTGCCTTCTGACACACTTCCGGTGGTATCAGGGGGTGTGGCATATGCAAATAAGTTATGCTAATAAGTTATGCTAATGAGCTCCTGCACCCTTTTTTTACGAAATGACCCCTGCATGTATTTATTAGAATGACAGTGAAAAACATATAAGGGCCCAATGAAAGCCTCGTTTAAAAGTTCAAGTGGCCCAACACAAGGGCCAAGACACATGACCTGACGTGTTTCCGCCCTATTGAGGCCTTCTTCAGAGGTCAAACAGTATTGAGGTACACGTAACAATAATACATATTACAATAAGATAACCAATAAGTGAATACAGGACCAAGAAAAGGAAGGCTGCAGAAAAAAAGAAAAAAAAACAGAATATGAATAATCAAATATTTTTTTAACGTACAGTGTAGTACAAATGGCTATATTACTTACTTTAGCAGCAAGATCTACAGACACAAGACAAAGATGTTTGTGAGGCCTCTAATGACGAAAGTCATGTGTCTGGTGCCAAGTGCACAGCTGCTGAACTAGAACATCTGGATGCAGCTCAGAGGGCAGGGAAGGTGGTTACACCACACAGTGCTAAGAAGGGGCAGACCTGGGTCCTGGCAAGTCCAGCGGCTTCCTATTTCTCCCAGTAAGCTCTAGGCAGAAAGTGTCTGGCAGGCATCCTCTCACTTGACTTCCCTTTTGTAAAACGGTGTCAAAAGTTGTAAACGATTCAGAGGACAGGAACACTTTTTGGTTCCTTCACACGTTCATACTTTTTAAGCACACCTTTAAGAAATGGAAGTGGAAATGGAACAAGCATACCGTTCACGCTAATTAAGCAGAGGCGCAATCATCTTCAGAAGGGAATTGTAGCCACACAATGTGGGGGGCAAAGATGCCCTCAACCTCCGGTTCAAGGTACACAGTATTAAAAGCATAGAAAAGCCACTGGAAAGATGACACACAGGCTATGACTGTGATCTTTGTGTCCCTTTGCTTTTTTTCCCCGGAAAGAGCCTCGTGGTGCAGCCGGAGAATGAAATGGAAGAGAAAGACTGCCGGAGAGCTGCAGCGATGGGCATGGAAGTCTCCCACCGTCTGACAATGGTCGAGAAAAATGGACATCACTCCACCCACTTGCTGAGGCAGACACAGGGGTGTTTGTATGTGTGCACGTGTGGAAGGCGTCCTCTGGAAATCAGCCCCGCCAAAACTGGACCTCCTCGGACTCTACCAGCCCCACCAACATCTTCTTTCTTCCTTGTTAAGCTGCAGTTGCTGAATTCATATTACAAAGCTCTTGAGGTGGTGCTCGCTCTGTTTGAGAATATGCCATTTGGCAAACACCTTTCACAGGTGAACTTGCTCTGCATCAGCAACCTTCCTTCCAGCCCTCAACACATCTCTGAAGACAACCTTCGTTTCTAGTCCTCTGGTGACCGGCACACTGATTTAGTTTTTAAGGGGGTGGGAAGAAAAGCCAAGAGCACCTTTCTCTGACAAACAGGACTTGCCTGAATCCATAAAGAAGAGTTCCTATGTCCTTACATTTTCATTGTCACCAATCAAAGGTGACCCAATGAAATTATATATATATATATATCTCCCTTATATATAAAAGCCG